CTGTTCTTTATAGAGAAGAAACTAGGAAAACTAGTCGTTTCCCACAGACAGCGCCAGATTATGCGTACTGGATCTTGCACAATATAAACACGAGAACAGATCTCCCCCTTAGTGAACTCGAGTGAGTCAGTCGAGTGGTCAACCTTACTGCTTGGAACAGCCTGTGAGGTCGATGGTAANTACTGGATCTTGCACAATATAAACACGAGAACAGATCTCCCCCTTAGTGAACTCGAGTGAGTCAGTCGAGTGGTCAACCTTACTGCTTGGAACAGCCTGTGAGGTCTGATGGTAACCTGGAACGATAATGGGAGACCCTCGTGGATCAACGGAACAATCCAGTAAGGCTGAGGAAGGTTCCTGGAACAAAAAAAGACAAGTTAGAAGGGCGCCAGAGTGTTTTCCGGTNGCTGATGAAGGTTCCTGGAACAAAGAAAGACAAGTTAGAAGGGCGCCAGAGTGTTTTCCGGCATATCTCCTCCGACGATCAAGTCAGTTTTTGAGAGAGAAGAAGAAGAAAACACTGAGTATAATTTGTAGCAAAGGTTTCACCTCCTTCTCTTGCCTTTAGTGAGGAGTATTTATACCTCAAATACTCATGATTGCTGTCAGTGTGGTCAGTAGGTGATCATTAGATACAGGCAACGTGCGCACTGATTCCTATGAGGAATGTCTTCTCTTTTAACTGCTCGGGATCCCGAGCAACCAAGACTATGTCATCGGCCTGCCGACTGTTCAATGAGCTCCTCTCAACAAGGATGTAATAAATGTCCAGCCTTAGGGACATTTATTACCTTTCACTTCCGAGCCTTATTGCATTAAATGTTGTCTCATTAAGGGAATGGTGTAATTAAATGCTTGCTTTCCCAAGTCGTGTGTCAGCAAGGGCATCTGGTCTTTCTGTCTCTGATGTGACACAATATGTCACGCGTCCATTCCCCATTGGTTGTGTCCCCTGCCTTCTAACACCAATTGTGTAAGACGAGGTCATGATAGCTAACCTAGCCTATCCTAGACTAGTGACATGTACATCAATAGCCTTTGCAAGAGCAGAGAACGCCATCCTGGACGGAGGTACATCTTAGTACCGAGGGGGATTGGCACATGTAGGACCAATGTACCTTATCCGACCCTGAGGGATACGTGTCGGTATGTAAACGTACTAGATGTCATTGATCCCTATAAACAGTACCTCGGAGGAACAGGGACTTGTGATCCGACGGGTACATGTCGGATTTATAGGAAAAGAATTTAGTGACGCCGAGGACACGTGTCTTCATTTTGGAGTACTTGGAAATGCCCCATCAATATATATAGCAATAACCCCATTTTTGAAGAGACTATGTAATATCAAAAATCATACCAAAAATCGAGCTTTAATTATGTAAGTTAAAATTAAAGTGGATAAAGAGAAAATGGAAGAGAGAGGTAGTGTGGATTAGTGGGTTTGTGGTAATTGAAATATATGTTGGTTAAGTTGTTTAACATTGAGGATCGTGTAGCTTGGATGTTGTTTTTGAGTGATTTTTTATTTTATTTTTTTGGAATGAAATTTTGTATTATTAGATGAAATTGGATAAAAATTGAGTTAATTTCAACTGTTGTTGTATTTTTATAAATATGTATTTCAGATTGTTATATATATGACAAAAATACTTTGGATTAATGCATTTTGTTTTTTATATTTAATCATGTTTTATGGGGTTAAAAACTATAAACTTTTTAAAAAATGACCAAAGACAATTATATAATTGTTTTAAAAAATATGGGATAAAAGATGTATTATTTTTTTATCAATATTTATATAATTTTGAACATTTGGCATCTATTTTAATTAATTCAAGAGTTTAAGTCCCCTTCCCCTCTCCGCCCAAAAAACAAAGGCATACAAAAAGTTAGGACAGCAAGTACCTCTTCTCATCCATGAGTGACTTCGCCTTTGATAGGTATGTATATGTGACGATGACTGACGGATCAACCCAATGAACGAGACCCTTAACCAATCCAATTCATTAATTGGATTGCCTAAGCATTCCACCCACCTAGAACTTGTCTAGACACCAAACAAATTTCACGTAATTCAGATAAGCATTGACGGTTCACATAAGATATTGGGTGTAACTATTCAATAAAAAAATATAAAAAAATAAAATAGAACCCATTTTTTATCATGAAAGTGACTATGTATGCATTAGCTAATTTGTCTGCCTATTAATGGTGTGTAACACTACTGGCAAGATAAAACAATTACAACTAATATTTTTTCGTCCATTTTGTTACATGATAATATCCTTTTTTGCAGCAAAAGAAAATTTGCAAATAAAGCCCAGCCCAGCAAAGACAAAGCTTTAGGTTTTAGGCAAACGTGCAGGATGGGCCACAACTTTCTATCTTATAGGCTGGCATATCCATTGTGCCTTTTTAGTCTTACCGATGTGGGACGGCTTCTGTTGTCTTACAAACGTGGAATTCTCTTCTCCATGATATGTATTACAGGGCGGTCCAATGCAATCGGAAGCTTAAAGTGAAATTTATAAATGAAGTCATATTAATATTGAATATGACTAATAATAAATATTCAATTACATTCATTCGAAATATTTATTTTTTATTTTTTGATTCAAGATGAGGAAATAAAAATGTGAGACATAAAATAATATTTTACACTTTCAATGTTACACTTTACATGTATATATACATATATAAATACATATGGATCAATGGAGGACATATATAAATACAATTATATATATATTAACAAATACACATGAATCAAGGTGCATTAAATACTAAAGTTCTCCCATAAAATTAGGAAATATTTAATGCACTACTTTCCAAAGAACATACACATGGATCAATGGAGGACAAAAATGTCACAAAAAAATGAGACAAATTCAAATTGTGTATTTAGATACAAATAAGTATTAAAATTAAGGACTTAATAACCCTACATTTTTTAGTGTGTACTTTTTACCAAATAAGTCTAATTTGATATCCCTCCTTATAATTTACCCAGACTATAGCAATATAGTGGATGGTCCGGCCCGATGCATTCTAGTGAAATTTATAATGCATTATAAATTGTATAGCAAGTTGTATTCATTGTGGCAAATTGTATACATGCTTCATAATTTTTTAGTTTAATTATGATATTATATGATTTTTTTATTATATTTGAACCGTCCAACCAATTGACTCAATTGTTGAACCAATAACCCATTAACTCAATCATGTTATTGAGTCGATGTCTAATCTGGTTCTAATAACTATCCTCGTTTCTATCACAACATGAAAGTCATGTACTGTATCAGTATTTTTTGCAATTAAAATGAAATTCAGTGTCCTTTTTGCCATTTTTACTTGTTAAAAGCCGAAAGAAGTCTCTCTCTCTCTCGGGGGTAAAATTTAGAGGCAGTTTGCCAACATAAGTCCTGCTATAGATGAAGTTATATATATCAATTTGTCACCATAACAACCAAAATCTTGCAGGAGGAAACTGCAACAGATGTATACAAGGATGCTGAAGATCGCTTCAGAAAATGGCAGTTTCCCCATCACAACTTCACCCTTATGGTCTTCTGGTCTCCATTCCTCATAACTGGCATTGAAAGGGTGATCAATAGTTCATCTACTGGCGTGTTCGACCTGCACCTAGACAAGATTGATGAGAATTGGTCACAAAAATTACCAGCCATACATTATGCTATTATCTCAGATGCCCACTGGTTCAATCGCGAGAACTACCTATACGAGGGAGGCAATCTTATAGGCTGTATTTATTGCCAAAAACAGAATGTCACGGATCTTGGCCTTGGATTTGCCCTCCGAAGAGCCTTTCAAACTGCTCTCAAGTATATCAATGATTGCAAGGAATGCAGAGGCCTCATCACTTTGCTGAGGACGTTTTCACCTTCTCATTTTGAGAGAGGGGCATGGAATGAGGGAGGAAACTGCAATAGGACAAGGCCACTAGTCGATGAAGAGGATGAAGAGGTTAACACGCATGGTTGGGATTGGAATCTTAGAAAGATTCAGGTGGAGGAAATTGAACAAGGAAGAAAGGAGGCAGAGAAGCAAGGGAATACATTTGAAGTTATTGATGTTACTGGAGCCATGTTGAAGAGACCTGATGGGCATCCTGGATCTCACTGGGGTAACCAATGGATGAAGGGTCACAATGACTGCACTCATTGGTGCTTGCCAGGACCCATCGATGTGTGGAATGAACTTTTGTTGGGGGTGCTTAGAAAGCAAACTGATCTATCCTTCAACAAGTAGAGCTTTATTTATGTCCCTATGTCCATTCAAATGAGCACAACATATCTGGAAAATGGTTTGTCAGAATTTTAGAGTCAGAAGAAAGAAACTACCACATTCAAGCACTACATACATGATCCATCCTCAAGGCTTTGAGCATATAGCATGGATTATTTGCTACTTTCAATTAATACATTTCCAATGCTGTGCACAACATTTAAGAACCTTATACACCCTCCAAGAATCTCCAAAGCTTAAAAATTTAATCCTCCCACTTCAGCCAGATAAAAACCATCCAATTTCAGCATATAGACTACAGCACCCCAAATAATAGGCTCCCGCCACAAGATACACAGAAGAGTAGACTAATCACCAATCTACATTGCCAAGCTCTTCATATAGTTTTCTAAAAGAAGACAATTAAAAGATAATGCTTATGAGACAGTTGTCAATTGGATTATGTCATCAATGACATACATTCTCAAATGTGACTAAATAACACTTGACAATTTGAAAAAAGCAGAAAAGGTTCACAAACTGTCTTCCCCACAAACCGTTTTAAAAAAAACAAAACAGTCCATCAGTATGGCTTCGAATCATCATAATGAAGGTGGTTTGTCTTATCCACAAACTGATAAGCACACCAGCAGATCCACAAAAATATAAATAGATGACTTAGAAGTTAGAATCATCAGCACGGACCTTATTTTCTTGCAGGAGGGAGTTTCAATAAACATAGAGAATCATGCGGAATAAAACTTCCCTACATTTAACTCTGAAAGCACGAGATAATAATCAACAGTTCTTCTGGCTCTTCCAACTTGCACCTTGACAAGATTGATAACAGATGGTTCAAAAATAGCAGATACCTACGATGAAATCATCTCTGATGCTCACGGATTTTCCAGGAAAAACTGCCTATGAATATGGTAGTCTGAATCAAATGTCATGANACATGAAAGTCATGTACTGTATCAGTATTTTTTGCAATTAAAATGAAATTCAGTGTCCTTTTTGCCATTTTTACTTGTTAAAAGCCGAAAGAAGTCTCTCTCTCTCTCGGGGGTAAAATTTAGAGGCAGTTTGCCAACATAAGTCCTGCTATAGATGAAGTTATATATATCAATTTGTCACCATAACAACCAAAATCTTGCAGGAGGAAACTGCAANGAAAAAAACAAAACAGTCCATCAGTATGGCTTCGAATCATCATAATGAAGGTGGTTTGTCTTATCCACAAACTGATAAGCACACCAGCAGATCCACAAAAATATAAATATATGACTTAGAAGTTAGAATCATCAGCACGGACCTTATTTTCTTGCAGGAGGGAGTTTCAATAAACATAGAGAATCATGCGGAATAAAACTTCCCTACATTTAACTCTGAAAGCACGAGATAATAATCAACAGTTCTTCTGGCTCTTCCAACTTGCACCTTGACAAGATTGATAACAGATGGTTCAAAAATAGCAGATACCTACGATGAAATCATCTCTGATGCTCACGGATTTTCCAGGAAAAACTGCCTATGAATATGGTAGTCTGAATCAAATGTCATGAATCTTGGGCATGGTTTTTCCATTTGAAAGGCTCCCCTCCCCCCTCCCCCCCCCCAAAAAAAAATAAAAAAAAATAAAGGTCCACTGTGGCTCTAAGGACTGCATAAGCTTCATGACTTTGCGAGGACATTCTCACCACTTTATTTTAGGAATGGAACTTGGAACACTGGAGGACACTGCAATAGAACTTGTCCTTTAAATGTCAGAGTGGTTGACTCTAGGATACTTCCATTGGCAACTGAGGACCACTCAAGTCGAAATAACTCAAAGAGCTGGCNCTAATAACTATCCTCGTTTCTATCACAACATGAAAGTCATGTACTGTATCAGTATTTTTTGCAATTAAAATGAAATTCAGTGTCGTTTTTGCCATTTTTACTTGTTAAAAGCCGAAAGAAGTCTCTCTCTCTCTCTCGGGGGTAAAATTTAGAGGCAGTTTGCCACNTGATATCTTAGTATGCTGCTAGCCATATCACTATGTTCGATTCCTGGATAAGTAGCCCCTAAGTCATCCTGAGCCTCTAACCCAAATGAAGTTTTTGCCTAGTTATTCAACACAAAAAAAGCTAAGCAGAGTTGTTGTCTAGAACTTAAAACACTTTTCTCTCAGTTTCTCGTGAAATACGGATGCCAAAATAAAATCAATTATTGACACTTCTTGCCCACAAACCCACAACTTTTCTTCTTTTTAACAAAACCCTATGCATAACCCGAATCCCCCATGGAACTATATGTAGGTAGTGCTAATCCAGCTTTACTAACTCATTCTATTCTACATCATAAAAAGTACAAAAACAATTGACACACATAAACAAAAAGTAGAAAGTGGAACTACAAATTAAAGACCAAAACCACTTGAAGACAGCTTTTAGTTGTTTTCAATTATAATTTTGTTTCCAATGGTGTGCTTGTAAATTACACATGTGGTTTAATCTAAACATCAAAAGCAACACAAATGGTTGACTACCGATACTCCGATAGAGTCTAATAAAGACATGCTACCATTTCTAATAACGAATAAGGAACAATGAACAAAAAGAATACAAACCCATTTGAGTATGAACAATATAATTATTTAAATCCAGAGACAACATTATCAACACGATATTGATTGCAACTAATGATTAAAAATAGTAAAGTCTGGATTTGTCAATATAGAACCAATTATGCTAATCTACATCCATTCTTAATGGCAAAGATGTAAGACATCCAGAAGATAAACCGTAATTATAATGAACAGGCAGGAAAATCAAGGTTCTACTGTGTTACCGAGCACAAAAGAGAAGAGTTCACGGACAGGTGAATACTCGACCAACCCGATATCCATGACATACCCAGTAACTGGCAACTTCAAGTCCCGTAAAACAGTAAACGCCTCAGCCATCCGAGTCTTGGGCACTTCTTCAGCAACCGGACAATAAGGGATCCATGAATCCATTCGAAACTCCTCCCCAATTTCAATGCCTTCCTTCTTCATTGCATCACACAGCTGTAAATGGAATCGAAGGAGAGACAAAGAAGGAGTTGGGGCAAGAAATAGGACATTCTTGCCATTTGGAAGGCTTCCAATTGAAGAGAAAGACAAGTGCAAAGGTTCTTGCTTTGAAGCAATACATTTTACAATGTTTTCAAGCTTTGATGGGTCGATGAAAGGGCTAGAAAAGAGGGTAATGTGAGGTCTAGACTCAATTTCAATAAGCTGAGTACTAATCTGTCGACGAGCCAATACATTCCAGGCCTTCAAAACCTGGTTTTCAAGCGCAGGATCGAAGTAGAGCTCAATTGAATAGCATTGTGACATTGTCTCTGAATTGAAAATTTAAAACAACACAAACGTTAAGCCANTTGAATAGCATTGTGACATTGTCTCTGAATTGAAAATTTAAAACAACACAAACGTTAGGCCGAAATTCAGTAACAACTAAATGAACACCCAAAAAAACAAGATTCAAGATCTCAAAAAACCCTAACTAAGAAAGATAAAATCAATGTAGCCACCAATTGAAAAGCAAGAATCAAGATCTCAGAGAACAATAACCAACAAAATAGTCTCAGAACAGACTAAAAACAAGAATCCCATAACAATATTTAATCAAAATAAGCCACATCCTGATAAGTCAGAGTTACTCACAGGTATAAGATAAAACCTGCACGTTAGATATGAGAAGCACTAATACTGGTACGTACCCAATATAGACTAGAGACAACTGAGGCACAAGAAGGCAATTAGATTGATTGAGAAGAAACGAATCAACTAAATAAGAGTGGGTATGGATGACACTTGGTGAAACATAGTAGGTGGCAAGAGGGTAAAGGGTTAATTGAGATAGAGAGAGCAAAACTGTGTCGGCAAGAGCATGTGAAATTTGGTGTTAAGGGTTTCAAATAAGGAGACAGACAAAGAGAATAAAGAGATCCCGAAGGTTTAGGACGCCGAACGTCTTTTTTGTAAAGGGGCAGGGCAACCCAAGAAATTTCTCGAGTAAATTACAGCGAAGCGCAGGTGAGAGAGAGAGAAAGAGAGAGGCTAGTTTGGGACTACGAAGACGTCAATGGATAGTGTATGTTTATATTGGAAAAATTACATTTTGACCCCTTCAACTATAGATTTAATTATATTTTATCTCTTAAACTATCAAAATTTTCACATTATACTCTAACTACTTTAATTATTTCGCATTGCCCCAAACTCAAATAAAAATCACACAAATAAAAAAATCACATAGTTCGGGGACAAAATAAAATATTTTTTCTCAAATTTGTAACTATTATTAATTATTGAGATAATATAAAACTAATTACATAATTGAAGATACAACGTCAAAAAATGATAGAGAGTTATGCTTTATGTGTGAGGAAAAAATCATAGGTGAGTGAATCAAGTTGTAATTTATGCTTTATATTTTTAGATAGAGTTAAGGGTAATATATTAAGAAAAACAAAGACTTGAGATTTATCATTTCTTGGGATTTGGGGTCTCTTTTTTGTGTGAATCAAATTGTCAACCCAAATTTAGATTAAATTTTTGGGTTAATTATAATTTGTTCCTCTCTAACTATGCCTCTTGTGGTAATGATTTTAAATACTGTAATTTATCCCTTTTAAATTTTAAGTAAACTAAATTGACTGACAACAATGATTAAGACATAAAAATATCATTCTCATATATTTTACTTTAGATACCAATTGATTTATCCTTAAAAAATAAGAAAATAAAAAAGCTAAAATAAATACATTTATTCAACCCAACACCAACAAATTGCACACCTCCACCCAACACCAACATGCGCCAAGACAAACCAATTGAACTTGGCACAGTGTTAGAGTTTTCAAGATGAACCTGCCCTGCAGCTGACCTTCTACAATAAGTCTAGGGTCTGCAATAGGGCTACCCACCGAGTTTTGTACATCAATACAATAAAACATGTGATCCTCCTAACTTGGACAAAATGCCTTACAATTTCATAATGTAACTAGAAACAATGTTTTTATTGTACTAGGATTCACCATTACAATATTTGTTTCCTTCACTTACCTCTCACTGCAACAGAGGAACATTTTCTGGGGATTGTGATTCCAAGCTACTACTAATTCCCAAGTCTGGCGTTTCTTCTTTTGCTTTTCCCCACAAGCTCACATAAAATCCAAAGGATACTATTATCGCACCAACAACACTGCAACAAACAAAATTACAGAAACCAAGTGAATCCACAACAAACAAGTAGGCAAATCAGGATAGGTAATTAATCAAAACATAGGACTAATTGGTTATTGTTAGTTACTGCATACAATTGACCTTATGACTAGAGAATGAATACTGTTGGTATGTACTGAAAGGTAATACAAAATGGGGATGAGGTTACGATTCAAGCTAAATGATTAGGATCAATCCCATTTTGTTGTAACCTCACCCTTATTTTGTAATAATTTTTAGTATGATATTGAAAAATAATTTTTCAATACAGTAAAATTTCCTCTATGCTTTAAAAAATAAGTTCGGAGAGTTTGTTCATACCTCCCGAGATATAAAGAATCACCTAGAAAAATTNTAGTTACTGCATACAATTGACCTTATGACTAGAGAATGAATACTGTTGGTATGTACTGAAAGGTAATACAAAATGGGGATGAGGTTACGATTCAAGCTAAATGATTAGGATCAATCCCATTTTGTCGTAACCTCACCCTTATTTTGTAATAATTTTTCAATACAATAAAATTTCCTCTATGCTTTAAAAAATAAGTTCGGAGAGTTTGTTCATACCTCCCGAGATATAAAGAATCACCTAAGAAAATTATACTCATAATTGCAGAAGTGACAATTGACAATGGCGTAAATAGTGCTACATAGACGGCCCCTTTCAAGCGTAGGGTCCATGTGACAAAGGCGACAGAGAAGGATAATCCAAATAGTCCCTATAACATAAAATAGTATTATTTATCTAAAAAAGGAAAAAAACAACCTATATCTCATAACACTATTGAATTTGAAATAGTGACCTTCAGGCTCTTACTGCAATTAAAATGGCTATCACCATCATTCTTGTACTTATTTCCCATGTACTGCCGTTTGGTTCCAAAACATAAGCCACTGGTAGAGCTATGATGGCCACAGATAAGTTGTACAGAGACGTTACAAGTTGTTCCGCCGGGTACTTCTTCACTGTTTGGGCCTGTAACTTGTATATATTCAATTTTTCGATTCTCCAAAGNAAAAAGGAAAAAAACAACCTATATCTCATAACACTATTGAATTTGAAATAGTGACCTTCAGGCTCTTACTGCAATTAAAATGGCTATCACCATCATTCTTGTACTTATTTCCCATGTACTGCCGTTTGGTTCCAAAACATATGCCACTGGTAGAGCTATGATGGCCACGGATAAGTTGTACAGAGACGTTACAAGTTGTTCCGCCGGGTACTTTTTCACTGTTTGGGCCTGTAACTTGTATATATTCAATTTTTCGATTCTCCAAACNGACAACAATGATTAAGACATAAAAATATCATTCTCATATATTTTACTTTAGATACCAATTGATTTATCCTTAAAAAATAAGAAAATAAAAAAGCTAAAATAAATACATTTATTCAACCCAACACCAACAAATTGCACACCTCCACCCAACACCAACATGCGCCAAGACAAACCAATTGAACTTGGCACAGTGTTAGAGTTTTCAAGAAGAACCTGCCCTGCAGCTGACCTTCTACAATAAGTCTAGGGTCTGCAATAGGGCTACCCACCGAGTTTTGTACATCAATACAATAAAACATGTGATCCTCCTAACTTGGACAAAATGCCTTACAATTTCATAATGTAACTAGAAACAATGTTTTTATTGTACTAGGATTCACCATTACAATATTTGTTTCCTTCACTTACCTCTCACTGCAACAGAGGAACATTTTCTGGGGATTGTGATTCCAGGCTACTACTAATTCCCAAGTCTGGCGTTTCTTCTTTTGCTTTTCCCCACAAGCTCACATAAAATCCAAAGGATACTATTATCGCACCAACAACACTGCAACAAACAAAATTACAGAAACCAAGTGAATCCACAACAAACAAGTAGGCAAATCAGGATAGGTAATTAATCAAAACATAGGACTAATTGGTTATTGTTAGTTACTGCATACAATTGACCTTATGACTAGAGAATGAATACTGTTGGTATGTACTGAAAGGTAATACAAAATGGGGATGAGGTTACGATTCAAGCTAAATGATTAGGATCAATCCCATTTTGTCGTAACCTCACCCTTATTTTGTAATAATTTTTCAATACAATAAAATTTCCTCTATGCTTTAAAAAATAAGTTCGGAGAGTTTGTTCATACCTCCCGAGATATAAAGAATCACCTAAGAAAATCATACTCATAATTGCAGAAGTGACAATTGACAATGGCGTAAATAGTGCTACATAGACGGCCCCTTTCAAGCGTAGGGTCCATGTGACAAAGGCGACAGAGAAGGATAATCCAAATAGTCCCTATAACATAAAATAGTATTATTTATCTAAAAAAGGAAAAAAACAACCTATATCTCATAACACTATTGAATTTGAAATAGTGACCTTCAGGCTCTTACTGCAATTAAAATGGCTATCACCATCATTCTTGTACTTATTTCCCATGTACTGCCGTTTGGTTCCAAAACATATGCCACTGGTAGAGCTATGATGGCCACAGATAAGTTGTACAGAGACGTTACAAGTTGTTCCGCCGGGTACTTTTTCACTGTTTGGGCCTGTAACTTGTATATATTCAATTTTTCGATTCTCCAAACGTAAGAGTAATAATCGAGCCAAGGGTTATTAAGATTAAACATGCTTTAAGACAATTGATCAGATTTGTCTCACTTACAAAACAAGATAAGAAAAGTTAACAAATTATTTTCATTTTTGTACTCTGAACAAGTCAAAATCAAGCCAAACCCCAACTGCTCAGATTGCTTTACAGACTTATCAGTGTGCACAAGAAGAATGGAAAAAGAAAAAAGAACAAGACAATTATACCTGAGCAATATACCAAATAGAGACTACCAGATACTCGGCAGAAAAAAGAATACCACCCATAATCCAATCTGATTGAAATGACCCCTGTTGATAAAACAATTTGGATGGTGATGAGCTCTTCACTATAGTTGGGCCCTTGTACAGAATCACCACAAGTGCTCCTGATATAGATACGATGGCGCCAGAAATTTTAGCCAGACTGCTAAAGCTTCTTAGTACTACCTTTTCCATTCTGGCAGGGCACAGAAGATCAAAAAAGTTGGTTGTTAGTTAGGTAACGTAATCATAAAATTTCCTAAATTACAGTTGGATTTTGATAAAATTTGATCAATCAGTGAATCGACTCCTGCAATTAGGCAGCAAAAACAAAATCTTGATCATAACTTACCCGAGTTACGTGCAGAGTCATGAGATGTTCAACCCAGTTGAAACCCTAACTTGCGATATTCAATTTTATTCGCAGTTTTTTTAGTTGATTTCACCGGGACGATGAAGAAACTCATGACTGTCCCCATGAATTGTATCCCAAACCTATAAAAGATTTTGGTCAAGAGGGAGGAAGAGGGCAAGAGAAGAAGCAATAAGAAGGAGGAGATGGGTGGAAAAAGAGAGATGAAGAGGGGAAAGAATACGGCCATGAAACAGACATGAACAGCAGAAGAAAGCAAAACTGAACACAGATATTGAGAGAGAGAGAGAGAGAGAGAGAGAGGAACAGCAAGGAGAGAAAAGGAGGAGGAATACACGAGGAGTCGTCCTTTGGTAGCTATGTTCTGCGACTTCGAATTTGCTTTGTCTTCTTCCGCCTTATGTTTTTGGTTTCACTTCGCCTTGTACAAAATTACGATGGACAGCCAGTGTAAGTAAGACTTCAGTCTAGGACTTCACAGGCACCGTAACAACACATCTAGCCGATGAGGTTTCATAAAAAAGGCACAGATCCAATCCTGTAGTGAATGATGCATGTATTGAACAACTTCGAATTTGAAGTTAATCTGACAAAGGAAGTCATTTACTGCGACCCAAGGTACGTTTGCATAAAAAAAAAATTCAAAATGGAAAACTTCTTTTGACGATTGCTGAGTAAGCTTATTGGCTGGAAAATTTGGAGTTGTTGGCAATTTTTGTTGTGATTTTACATGCTTTGGGTCATGGTGGGTAAGTGGTGTAGCATCTGTGTCTTTTTGGGGGTTAGTTTTTTGGTTGTCCACCGGCTGTGAATGTTTGAACAACACAATAATTTGATTTGATGTTGTCTTATTTGGTATTTTTTTTGTTTTGGAAGAAAGTTAAAAAAAAAAATTACATAAACTGGATGTCAAGGAGTCCATACCGTTTTACCTACCATACCTGTTTTACCTAGGGGTGGGCTTTGTCTTCGAAGGAGTCTGAATCATGTCTTCTCAACTCTTGACTCCGACTTTGGCCGGAGTGAGTTTTTCCCTCCGCGTTCGACTCCGCACTACATTGACTCGGCCTCCGCCAATCGGAGTTGGAACAGAGTTTCGAAAATCAGCAACAACAAAAATCAGACAATACACAGAGGCGAGAGCTTCAATCGCAGTAGATTTGCTGAGATATATGAGCAATGCTATTGGCATCTACCTAATTTGATGACTTAATTCATTATGACATTTGTATTGACTATGAGTCCATTAAATATTAAAATTTGGTGTTGATCTAATGATTCTACTAAAATCATATTATTATGTCAACAAATTAGGTCAAATTTTTAACTTCAAATAGTATTATTCAAGATCTATATGTGCTTCAATTGGAAGGGAGTTGTGGCTTCCATCGACTGTGTTGAAAGTCTTCAGAGAGAGAGAGAGAGAGAGAGAGAGAAACGATTTAAGTGTGAATGGGTGGATTATATTTTTAGTTGGGCTTGGGTACTGATGTACTTTGGTGGGTTGGGCAAGGGGCTATTGTACAATAAGAGAGGATTTTGGATATATTATAGTAATATATTATGTAATTTATAATTTATATAAAATTATTAATTAATAAAATTCTAAGTCACAGTCAGAGCCAGAGTTTTTTCAAAAATAATTAAACTCTGACTCCAATCAGAGTCTACATATTTCCTCTGATTCAGTTAAACCTAGACTGTGACAAACACGAAGTCAGTTTGGAGTTTGTCAAATTTTCAGATAGTTGCACACTCTTAGCTTTACCACCTGCTTCTTTCTGTATTCAATATCACTTGGACAAAATGATATTACATACCTTTAAGTATGGAAGAGTGTTGATAGTTTGGTCTTTTGTCATTGATACTTTTAGAGAAAAATATTTTATTAGCTGACCCAGTTGCACGAACAGGTAATGAGTCACATGCACTGTCAGGGGTCAATGCATGTTGGATAGAATCATTAACATTGCAATTTAGTCGGCTAAGCGTGTGAGGGTTATGTAGAAGTGTATAAAATATAGAGAGGTAAAGTACATTTGGAAGGGGTAAATTGTAGTTTACCCTATTTAAAATTAACAAACAAAACAAAAGAGTACTATGCTTACGTTTTTTTAAAAAAATTACACTTTACTCCCTAGAATTATTACTCTTATTTTAATTTATACCCTTAACCATAAAATTTTTTACATTACACTCTGAAGTATCAATTTTATTTTATATTATTCCAATAGATAATAATAAATCTAAAAATCTTTCACAAGAAGGTGGGAAACCCCAAAAAACTTCTCATCAAATGTCTAATACCATTTTATTTTATCTCTTTTACAACCAAATAGTTGTTAGGAAAAATAAGAAAGTCAACCAGCGGGAAAAAAATTTAGAGCTTATGAAGAACAAAATTATGGATATGTATTTTTGTTAATTTTTGATTTGCACATGTGTAATAGACAATTACTTATTGGTAGTAGAGATCACTCACATGCGTATTTACCATAAAAAAATTGACATTCGTTATCAATTAGAGTGATATGAAAATAAATTAATACTTTATGGTGTAACGTGAGAAATTTTATAATTGAGAGTATAAAGTGAAATAAGGGTAATAGTTTAAGGGAATAAAGTGTAATTTACTCTTCTTTTTTTTAACAAGCCAAGTTGTCAACGCTAATTATTTGATTATTCAACCAAATAAACAAACAAAACAAGACAGTGAAAGAAACAAATATTAACAAACAAATCAGAAGGAACCTGAAAATAATGGCAAGTGCAAAGGTAAACGCTGGTGTGAGATTGCTGATAATTGAAGAAAGAGCCGGAGAACTGTACTCTAGACCCATATACCCAAACATATGACCTAAAAACCTGCAAAACCCAGAAATAAACATAAAAGAGAAGTAGATGACCCATATTCTGAATCCAATCCACTCTTTTTCAATTAAAAGCAGTAGAATGGCTGATATTTTGTATACCCAAGAAGCCCAAGGAGGCAAATTCTACTGATGAAAGAGAAGTTGAACGGAGGAAGTCTTTTCTTTCTGCAAATTATATATAGCATTGAACATACATAGATGGATAATAATATGTTAGTTGTTGTTGCAATAAAACAAAATTGCAAAGGACTACGTAATTAGTATCTGCAATAGGAGGAGATTTATATACAGTTGGTAAGGGATAAAGAAACGGACCTTTCGAAGATGAAAGCGAAAGGAAGGAGAACCAGAGCGGCTAGAGCATGAGAATAGACGATGAAGACCAGATAGCTCATTCCTTGAGATGCTGCTGCTTTGAATGCTGTGCTTACGCCTACGTGGGAGCTCTGCCATATAATCACCGCTGCAAATGGAAGCACTTCTCTATAACAATACCCTCCCCTCTCCATTTCTCTCTGTCTCTCTCTCTCTAGTTAAGTTGTTCCTCCTCTGATCATGAGTTTTCAGAACAAATTATATACATGTAAATTATAATAGTTTGTCATTGTAACATGGTGTATATATAATAACTATTGGGGTTAAATTTTTGAATTATTTGCACCGGTGGTCCCCAAACTATTTATGTTGTCTCATTTTAGTCCCCAACATTTCAATTGCAACAAATTGGTCCCCAAAGTATTCACTTTGATTTGTTTTGGTCCTAACAATAGATGCCATTTGCTTTTTGCCATCTTCGTCACCGTCTCCGTCTCCATCTTCGTCACCGTCTCTGTCTCCGTCTCCGTCTACTTGTGTCATTCACGTGAGAGGCAAATTGGACATTGCACATGCCTAGTCTGGGAGGGAAACATTCTTGGAAACTCCTCAATGCCCACATCTCCATGCCCACGTTATAGCCTGTATGTCCAGCAGCCAAAGGAAACAAACAGAACATCTTAAACCAGAAAAGAAGAAGAGAAGGGAGGAAAAAAGGGGAAGAGAAGGGAAGAAAAAGAAAAACGTGGGGTGAAATTCACGTAATGGAGGCAACACCATGCTACTATAGGAGAATGGGAAAAATGCGGATTTCTTGGACTAATATAAACCTACGAAGAAGATTTATTGGATGTAAGAGATCCTTATTTTTATTTCATTTGTTAGTTTTGTATGAACATTTGAATTTTTTAAACAAAGTATTACGTTGTTAGGAAGTTGGAGGTTATTAATTTTTTGTTTGATATGATCCTCCAATATGCGATAGATTGAAGCATGTGATACTTGTATTTTTGCAATCTCTCCAAAGACACGATAACCAACAACCACTGTCAAAGAAGAAGGAGAAAATCTTATAGGTTGTTCTGTTTTCTTCAAGGACAATTTTCATTCTCACTTGGTTGTTATTTTTCATGTAACTGGACTTTGTGAAGTTGGAAACATGTGTAATAGAGCTGGAAACATGTGTACTGGGTTGATGTTCTTCATGTAATAGAGCTTAATTATGTATAAATATGACTTTTCTTTTTGTGGAATGCTTAATTGGTGGAATATGAAATGTTGATATTCCATGTAACTCTGAGTACAGATTTCAACATTCAATAGACATGTGAAGCTGACTTCTCTTTGTGAAGCTGTTTGTTACACTTATATTATTAACCCAATAAACTAAGTACAAACTGTTGAAACTCAATACAAACCCAAAAAACGAAGTAACGTGGCTGCTTCTTACACTTATATTACTAACTCACTTCAAATCCAATATTACAAATTATATCAACATCATTGTTAACCCTCATTACAAGCCCAAAAGGGAGTTATACATATTCATTGTACCATTATCTCAAAAAACAAAAGTTGCACGTCATATAACATGACTGTTTATTAATTTACTCCTCCTGAATGATAACTTTTTCCTTCGAGTATGAATGATGAAGGCTTTATTTACATTTCTAGAATTTGCACAAAAAACAAAAATTGCACATCATATAACATGACTGTTTGTTAAATTATTCCTCCTGAATGATAACTTTTTTCTTCGAGTATGAATGATGAAAGCTTTATTTGTATTTTTAGAATTTGAAGCTGCTCTAATGGTTGAAATTTGAAGCAGAGAGCAATGAAAGCTCAAGTGAGAGTGGGCAATTTCGTAAAAGAAAAATTTAAAAATTAACAAATGTATATCTTCTTACTAAACATTTACACACAAACATAATTATACACATATATTTTATATTGAAATATTTTTACGCAAATAAGTATGACAACGTACACCTTTTCACAATTTCTTAAAATTTTCACGGCTTGGCCACAGATCAATAATTTACAGAGAACCAATTAAAAGCTGACAGCTCAGCTCAAGTGGGCCCACCATCGAAGTTTGTTTCGTACCCCTCTCTCTTCTCTGTCTCCCTGTCCTCTTTTTCCTGTTGTTTCTCACTGATGCAGAAACTCGCACGACACAGACCTTCACCCACAACCAGCCCACTGCTCCTCTCTCTCGCCCCCCATCTCACATGCACACACATACAAATTAGAAGACGCAGTCACCCACCGCTCGGTGTTCGCCAATTTTCCTTTCTTATTTTTTTTTCACACATACTCCTACGGATTTTTCCTCCAATCAAATCAATTTTTCAATACTGCTCCTCTCTCTCGCCCCCAAAAAACACATTGCCTCTCCCTAAGGAAATATATCCTTAATTGGGGGGATTGGGATCAATAATAAAATTCTGAAATGATCTATCCATCAGCTGATTCAATTCATACCCCTCAGGCCACAATGACTGTCCAATGTGGACATGACACAGTGGGGCCTTCCAACTTAAAAGACTATTAAAAGGGACTTGACTACGCTATGGTCCAACAAATTTCGGTTTTATATATATTTTTAAAATTTATTATTTTAAACGATATTTTTATAATTTTTATGGATTATTTTATAACTAAAAAATTTATTATTTTTGTAGATAATTTATCACTTTTATGTGTATTTTTACTACTGTTGCAGATATTTTTTTCCCTATTGTGATAACTATGTTTCCCACCTTTTTTCGGTACAAAAAAATTATCATTTTTGTGGATGATTTACCATTTTTATAGGTCTTTTTATTACTGTTGTGATCATTATTTTTATCACTTTTTTTGGTACCACAATATTGGTTAAAACACTCATAATAATGATAAAAATACCTATAAATGTAATAAATTTTGGTTTAATACTGAAACTTTATTTTTCGATATCATAGTGAAGTCCATAAAATATACATCACAGAAAGAGAAACAATTAACTTGAAAGGTTGCTCAAGTGGTAACAAAGATAAATTCTAATCTCAGATATTTTGAATTTAAATTTTGATAATTTCTTAGAGTCAGATTTTTTCATGAGAGATAAATACGTGACTTTAAGGGATTTAGTATTGACGTGAATGACCTGATTTTTATCAAAATGAAAAAAAAATTAATTAAAATAAGTATAAATTAATCCAAACATCCTTTACCATTAAACCAAAAAATTTTTAAAAAAACAATTAAGAAAACAAGTTGGGTGCGTAGTTTTATTGCGGAGAGGAAAACTGAGTGCATTATATTAGTCTGCGTGTTGCTTCCTCTAACCACATTGATAGGTCCACGAGGACCCTACTTTGCCAATGACCTCAAATCAATGACGACTCAAATATCTTAGAAGTTGTTTGGTACGTGGGTTTTGGGTTGGGGGGGGGGNGGGGGGGGGGGGGGGGGGGGGGGGGGGGGGGGGGGGGGGGGGGGGGGGGGGGGGGGGGGGGGGGGGGGGGGGGGGGGGGGGGGGGGGGGGGGGGGGGGGGGGGGGGGGGGGGGGGGGGGGGGGGGGGGGGGGGGGGGGGGGGGGGGGGGGGGGGGGGGGGGGGGGGGGGGGGGGGGGGGGGGGGGGGGGGGGGGGGGGGGGGGGGGGGGGGGGGGGGGGGGGGGGGGGGGGGGGGGGGGGGGGGGGGGGGGGGGGGGGGGGGGGGGGGGGGGGGGGGGGGGGGGGGGGGGGGGGGGGGGGGGGGGGGGGGGGGGGGGGGGGGGGGGGGGGGGGGGGGGGGGGGGGGGGGGGGGGGGGGGGGGGGGGGGGGGGGGGGGGGGGGGGGGGGGGGGGGGGGGGGGGGGGGGGGGGGGGGGGGGGGGGGGGGGGGGGGGGGGGGGGGGGGGGGGGGGGGGGGGGGGGGGGGGGGGGGGGGGGGGGGGGGGGGGGGGGGGGGGGGGGGGGGGGGGGGGGGGGGGGGGGGGGGGGGGGGGGGGGGGGGGGGGGGGGGGGGGGGGGGGGGGGGGGGGGGGGGGGGGGGGGGGGGGGGGGGGGGGGGGGGGGGGGGGGGGGGGGGGGGGGGGGGGGGGGGGGGGGGGGGGGGGGGGGGGGGGGGGGGGGGGGGGGGGGGGGGGGGGGGGGGGGGGGGGGGGGGGGGGGGGGGGGGGGGGGGGGGGGGGGGGGGGGGGGGGGGGGGGGGGGGGGGGGGGGGGGGGGGGGGGGGGGGGGGGGGGGGGGGGGGGGGGGGGGGGGGGGGGGGGGGGGGGGGGGGGGGGGGGGGGGGGGGGGGGGGGGGGGGGGGGGGGGGGGGGGGGGGGGGGGGGGGGGGGGGGGGGGGGGGGGGGGGGGGGGGGGGGGGGGGGGGGGGGGGGGGGGGGGGGGGGGGGGGGGGGGGGGGGGGGGGGGGGGGGGGGGGGGGGGGGGGGGGGGGGGGGGGGGGGGGTTTGGTGTGTGGTGGGTTTGGGAGTATAGATTGGGGAGTAAAATATGGGTATGAACAGTATTAAATGTTGAATCTCATCTTTGGGTCAAATTCGAGTTTTGACAATTCAATCCAAACCTTTCTCAAAAATCATACCAAACATGCCCTTATAGTAAAAACTGACGTATCATTTTGGATAAAATTTGAAAAAATTTCATTTACATCTCCTATAGTTTAATCTAAATTTAATAACACTCTCTCTGTTCTAAAATTTCATTGCACCCCTTCTAATTTATATTATCGAATCGTGGATACCCTTAACAGTATCTTTCATCTCTAAGAATAAATAAAGTATATGATTTGATCACATACTAAAATGCCTTGGGTTGAAACTTTATAAAATTTAAATTTTTTATTTTTTGATAAGTAGAATGATATAGTTATATGTAATGAATTTATTTTTTTACATAAAATAAAATCATTCAACATAAATAAGGTCAAAAATGCATACAAACAAAACAAAACAAAAAACAAAATAATTTTAATATTTTATCAAAAAATATGGTTAATTATAGTCATTTTGAATTGATCTCAATGATTTTTTTTTTTTTATCATTTTAAAGGGTTATATGATGATTTTGTTTTAACTACCACGGAATATATATATATTAGTCATCATATTATCACTCATCTGGTTACATAATCAAATTTTTATAGTTAAAAATATTTTTTTTACAATAAAAAATATAATTGATAAAGTCAATATCAAAGTCTCACTCATTTTCTATCGTTTGTCCTTCATAACATCACTCGATCACTCTTTACATGTCACACTTCACATAAATGACTTGTTTTTAATAAAAACGAAAGAATTAGCCGAAATACATAAATTGACCTGGACATACCTTAACGATCAACTAAAAAATAGAAAGGAAAACAATTAAGAAGCAAGTTTTTTTTTTTTGAACAAGCCAAACAAATAAACTATATCATTAAGTAGAAAAATTGAAGTTACAATCAGTCAAAAGAAAAGTCGTAAGCTCGGGGGAGGGGGGAGCCTAACCAATTCAAGGGAAGTGAATTGTTTAACATAGTGACTGCTACCCAATGAACAATCTTGTTACAGGTTCTAGACTTGTGTAAAATGCTAAGATAATATAACTTAGTATAATGTCTAATATCTTCAATGATAACACTAATTTTTCACAGGAAACATCTTCATTGGAGCTAAGCTTGATGATGTTGAGACAATTATTCATGATAGTGGCATTTGTGATCAGATATGTTTCGACAAGGGGGCATGCTTGTCACACTGCCTCTGCTTCAGAGAGCATGCTTGACATTGTTGGGAAAGACTTGGCACTAACAAACTCAAATTCCCCTCTTTCCTTGCATATCACCACTCTACAAGCGGCTTTGGCTGAAATTAACTTAAAAAGCTCCATCGCAGTAGATACGGATCCCAGCCCCAGCCTCTTGTGGTCTCTCCTCCCTCGCCTCTGATTCCTTCTGTCCCTTAGATATTTCCACATCTCCAATTTTGAGTTGATCCTTCCACATGACTTGTGCGCGAATGATAGTGGTATAGACATTTACCTCTTGTATATTAAAAGTAAACTGGTTTCTTGCTTTACAGATTACTTATCCCGCACAAGTCATTTTTTCCAAAATTTCGAGTCTGCCTTGAACATCCTTCACCATATGTAGGAACAAATAGTTCTTTGAGCCACTGACACAAATGAGCAAACCTCCCATTGTATGTTAAGATTCATTTTAAACCGGACACTCTAGGTCCATTCGCATTCAAACAGGGAATGCTCGATAGATTCCAGAGCCACTTACAGATTGGACAGAAAGATGATGAAGCACAAGTTGAGTTGGTACTTTTATTGCGTCAAGGAGAACTGAGTGCATTAGATAAGTCCACGTGTTTCTTACTCGGACCACATTGATGATCCATGAGCACATCGATGGCGACTCAAATATTTTTTAGTAAAAACTGTCCTATCATTTTGGATAAAAATTGGGAAAATTTCATTTGTATCCCTCGTAATTTTGTCTAAATTTAATGACACATCATTTTAATTCCGAAATTTCATTGTACACCTTTCTAGTTTATACCGTCGAATCATAAACATTCTATAATAGTAACTTCCACATTTGAGAGTATATAAAATGCATGATTTGAATACTTATTCTTTGAAAATACTAAAATTATCTTATGTTATGCTAATAGACTAAAATGTCTTGGATTGACACTTTATAAAATTTAATTTTTTTTTTATAAGTGGAGTGATATATTTATATATAATAAAATTATTTTTTACACAAAATAAAATCATTCCACATAATAAGGTCAAAACGTCATACGATAACTTTGTTATAAATACCACGGAGTATATATATATATATATATATATATATATATATATATATATATATATATATATATATATATCTCATCATATTATCACTCATTTGGTTACGTAACAGAATTTTTATAGTTTAAAATATTTTTTTTATAATAAAAATTACAATCGATAAAGTTAATGTCAAAGTCTTACTCATTTTCAACTCCTCTAATTATCGTCTGTCCTCCACAACATTACACCACCACTCTTCACCCATCATTCTTTACATGTCAAATTTAAATGTTATTTAATAAAATTTAATATTAATTGAATAAATTTGGTATTAATTTGATAAATTTAAATATTAATTTGATAAAATTAAATGTTGTTTTAATGAAATTAAATATTAATTTATTATTAAATTAAAGAAATGACATTAATTTGATGAGGTTAAATATTAAATTAATAGAACTTAATATTTTATTAAATATAATTAAATTTTAATTTAATAAAATTAAATGTCAATTTGATATTGATATTGATATGCATCTCTCTCGCAAGGTCGCTCTATCTCCCCCATTTTTCTCCTATCTCCAGCCCATTTCTCTTCTCTCTCTTCTTCGGCGATCCAGTTTCATCCCGGCGACCTCCCAGCACCCAGCAACAACAGTGCTGCTCTCTCTCCCACTCTTAGGTAACTCCCTCCTTCTCTCCCTCCTATTGTACTATATGATATTGATAGGATACATAAATTTCCGTTTATTTCCAAAAATATTTTGTGGAGTTTTGTACATATCATCAATACAATAAATGTGTAATCCTTCCAACGTAGACAAACTGTCTTACAATTGCAGAATGTAACAATTTGTAACATCATTCACAATTACGATCTTTGTATTCTTCACTTACGTGTCACTGCAACAGAGAATCATTTTCCGGGAATTGTGATTCCAAGTAATTACTAACTCCCAAGTCCACCGTCTCTTCGTGTGCTTTTCCCCACAAGCTCACATAAAATCCAAAGGATACTATTAATGCACCAACAACACTGCAACAAAGAAAATTAGAGAAATCATGTAAATCCACAACAAACAAGTAGGCAAGGTAGTCAAAACATATTGCTAATTATAAAATTTATCATATGGCTAGAGAATGAATACTATTGGTATGTACTAAAAGTTAATACAAAATAGCGATGAGGTTATTATTCAATCCAGTGAAATTGCAAAAGACTAAACGATTAAGCAACTGCTAACAAAGTTATAATCATTCCCGTTTTGTCATAATCTCACCCTTATTTTGTAGTAAATTATCCGCACAAATACAGTATGTCTTAGAAGATAAGATCTGAGAATTTACTCTTACCTTCCGATATAGAGAGAATCACCTAAAAAAATCACACCCATAATTGCAGCAATGACAATTGACATTGGCGTGAATAGTGATACATAGACGGCCCCCTTCACGCGTAGGCTCCATGTGAGCATGGCGGTAGCAAAGGAAAATCCAAGTAGTCCCTATAATAGGAAATAATATTATTTATCCAAAAAAATTATGAAATAGTTTCCAACTAATTAACTGCAAAACAACCTATTTCTAACAACACTATTAAATTTGAAATAGTGAACTTCAGGCTCTTACTGCAATTAAAATGGCCATCACCATCGTTCCTGAATTTATTTCCCATGTACTAAAGTCTGGTTCAAAAATGTAAGCCACTGGTAGAGCTATTATGGCCACGACTAAGTTGTACAAAGATGTTACAAGTTGCTCCACTGGATACTTCTTAATTGCTTCGTCCTGTAACATATGTAGATTCAATTTTTTGGTTTTTCGATGTTAACTGAGTCAAACTTTTTTGGTTTTAGTAGATTACTTCTGTTTTTGTTCTTTGAACGAGTGAAAATCAAGTCAAACAGACTTATCAATGTATATCTAAAAAATTTTAGATACTCTATCTACCTCAAGAAGAATGAAAAAAGAAACGAGAACAAGACAATGAATTATACCTGAGCAATATACCACATAGAGACAAACAGATACGCAACAGCAAAAAGAATACCACCCATAATCCAATCTGATTGTAATGACCCCAGTTGATAAAACAGTTTGGATGGTGATGAACGGTTCAATATAGTTGGGCCCTTGTACAGAATCACCACAATTGCTCCTGATATAGATACGATGCTGCCCGCAATTTTAGCTTGAGTGCTAATGCTCTTTAATTTTACCTTTTCCATTCTGGTAGGGCACATATTAAAGATAAAAAAAAAAAAATGGGTTGTTAGTTAGGTAAAATAATTAGCCCAGAAATTCCGTCGAGGGTGGGCACCTTCATAAAATACGAAGAAAAGAGTCAAACATATGTGAATATAGCATATGGAAATTAAAAAAAAAAAAACTAATTACAACATTTCACAACAAATGAAACTAACTCAGTTACTCTATAAACCAATCAAACTATTAGGCACTGATCACTCATTCAGTTATGCATTCTAGTTTTCGTAATTTCTATAACTTAAAAAATAAATCCGACATTACTCTTTCATGGGATGATATACATTTGGATTGTAATTTTTAAATTTGCTTTGGGTAATATACAAGAGCGGAGCACATAGGGAGGAGGGTGGGCATTTGCCCCCTCTGAGTTTTTCAATCCTTTTATTTATGTATTATTAAGGGCCGATAGATTAGTTATTTTAATACATTTGCCCTCTTTGATTTTTGAAAATGTTTACGATGGTCCTAACTTATTTTTAATTTTTGGCAAGTTAGTGGCCCATTGCCTCCCCCCCCCCTCCCCCCCACAAAAAAAAAATCAATGTTTTAGTTTCTGAATTGAGTAAATCAACAAAATAAATGATAATTTCAACTAGTTTTCGCAATATAAAATGAATAATGATTTTGTCATGGATAATATG